GGTAAGAGCCATTAAGAAATAACATTATTAACCAGTGCATATTTTGTTTTTTTCATGTACAGCTTTAGTTGCTTTAATTGAAGGCAAACGTGCTCCCATTTATCATTGGTAGTGGCAATTTTTTATTACTAACTCACAGTATTAAAAGTCTGGCAGACATACATCCACAGTTTTATGCTGTCTGATATTGTATGATAGAAAAACCCAACAAAGAAAAGGTAAGACAAATGCAACTCATTTCATCTCGGGGTTGTTTTCCTCGAAGTATTATTCATATTAATTCACAAATTCATGAACAGTACATTTTTATGTCATAGTGTAAGTTCAGTGTGGCTGGTACATGTGGCTTCCTTGTTGTTACTTTACATTTTGAAAAGGGAAACGGGAATGGGAAAATGCTGGATCCGATGGTGCCTGTTTGTAGAATGTTGTCATTTATTTTTGGAATTTTCTCGCTCACTGTTCAATAATAGAAAACGCAATCATTTTAAAGACTTAAATCACAGGAAATTAGCCGGATTAACTCTTTTTTTGGATTCGGCAGCATTTCATGTACATTTTTATCAAGAGAACAAAAGCCTGTAAAACATTTAAACTGTATTTTAAATAACACCTGCTCTTCCATGAAAATTATTTCAATGCAGTTGTGGCAGTTCTCCACGTGGTGACACTATGGACCGTAACATTGAGAGTTTCTATGTAGTATATCCACGCTCCTCCCAATTTCATTTGACGATGTGTCTTTTCAAGGCTTTGTCACAAAGAGAGAGCGAAAGCACAGAGGGAAGATCTGTCTTATCCGCGTGTACAGTATACATTTGACGCGGTTTGAGGTTGTATTTTTTTCATCGTTTCAAAATTCGGAACGGGATTTTCTTGGAGTGGATGTGTGTTTAAATCACCTTATGGAATTATGCCTGCACCAACGAGGACGTCTATTGTTTCATGTCTGGTGCTTGTGCTGCTGGAGTGTTGCTGGAAAGCGGAGGCTGCTCAGCTCTCGTATTCAGTATCGGAGGAACTGAACTCGGGGACTTCAGTAGGAAATATCGCTAAGGATCTAAACCTCAGCCTTCAGGATTTGGAATCCCGTATGTTTCAGATTGTTACCGGATCCAAAAGAAAATATTTCGAGGTAAATGTAAAAACTGGTGTTCTCTACGTTAACGAGAGAATAGACAGAGAGGAGCTGTGTGCGAAGGAACCAAAATGCACAGTCAGTGTAGAAGCGGTGATAAACAATCCTCTGAAGCTGTATCGCTTAGATATAAATATACTAGATGTTAACGACAACGACCCGTTATTCACGGAAAAATCACAAACTATAGACATAGCAGAGAATACTCTGCCTGGGATGAAATTCGCTTTGTCAGAGGCCATCGATGCAGATGTAGGTAAGAATACTGTTAATGCGTTTAAATTAACACCAAATGAATATTTTTCTCTGGCTACAATCAAAGGAGGAGAAAGTGTGTCTGCAGAGTTAGTTTTACAGAAAACGCTGGATAGAGAGAAACAGCCTGTGATACACCTCACAGTGACTGCTATAGATGGAGGGACTCCGCCAAGATCTGGCACTTCACAGGTCATTATTCACGTCTTAGACATAAATGATAACCCTCCAGTGTTTAACAGTCCCTTGTACAAAACTAGTATATTTGAAAACACGCCAATCGGGACAACTGTGATTACACTAAATGCATCCGACGCAGACGAGGGGACAAACGGTGAGATAATGTATTCATTAAGAAGCAAAGGGCAGGATCGGATATTAGAGATTTTTCAGATTGATCCCACAACGGGTGCAATAAGCATCAAAGCTAATGTCGATTATGAGGAAAACAAAGCTTTTGAGATCCGTGCAGAAGCAAACGATAAAGCTCAGCCACCAATGTCTGCTCACTGCAAAGTGCTGGTAGAAGTAATTGATGTAAATGACAATGCCCCCGAGATTACTGTGACGTCATTGTTAAATACAGTGAAGGAGGACGCTGATGTGGGTACTGCTATCGCATTTGTGTCATTTGTCGACAACGATGGTGGCAAAAACGGCGAAGTGAAATGTAAGATTTTGAATAAGGTTCCTTTTAAACTAGAGACAAATTACAAAAATTATTATTCTCTAGTTGTTGACGGGCCTCTTGACAGAGAAATAACCTCCGACTATAACGTCACAATTTCGGCTACTGATGAAGGGAGTCCTCCTCTCTCCAACACTAGTGTTATTACTGTTCATGTTTCTGATGTAAATGACAACCCGCCTCGTTTCTCAGAACCAGTGGTTAATATTTACGTGAAAGAAAACAGTAAAGTTGGGGTAATTATTAAAACGTTATCTGCATCTGATGCTGACATCGATAAGAATGGCCAGGTTAGATATTCAATTTTAGACAGTAAAAGTAACTCTGTGTCTGTGTCTACGATGGTGAACATCAACTCAGAGACTGGAGATATAGTCAGCCTGCAGTCTTTTAACTATGAG